TACGAACAAGCAAACGAACGACTTTTCCAATAAGGCACCTCCACCTTCTTGCTCCACTGTGTGCCATAGCCCCATTTCCGCCTTCGAAATAGCTCCCAAAACGCCATCTAAAACGATGCCTTGTAAGGAAAATAGATATTTAGGTCTTCTTTCAGCAGAATTAACGGCTAAACGCACGACCACACAAATGAATGAACAAACAAACGAACAAATTTGCTAATAAGGCTCTCCGAAGGTACATGCTTTTTGGCTTTCTTTTGTAGAAGATTTAGTTTCGTGATACTGTGCGGGGTAGGCTTGGCTGAGGCTGGTTGCAATAGGCGACAGGCTGGAGTATTAGGATCTAGATCACAGCACTGCACTGCTTGTGTTCTGGATAGGAGGAAGTGAGCGAATTGGATCGAATTGAAGTGCTCAAACCATAGGTTTATGGATAGACAGTGCGAAACAGACAATATTTCTCCTACATATTATATGCTGCTCGCAAGCGGGGTGGACTCGGCATGGGCTGTCAGAAAGGGGATGGTGTAGCCCAGAGCCATAGGACTACATCGCACAAAGTGGCTGGGCTCCTTTACCTGGGGCAGTAAGGAGGCTAGAGGAAGATATAGAATGCTGGCTCAGTACACCAAACTACTGGATGGAATTGCTTTGGAGGCATGCAATTGGGCCAAGGTAGGGTAGCTCCCAGTAATGTGATGGGTGGGAGGAGTAATGCAGTAAGGAGTTATAAGTCGCACAGTGCGGCTTCTCGTGCGCGTATTGCGAGGAGGGATTCACACTCGCCAGCCTCTCTAAGAGCTAGCCAATCCCGCCTTTCGTTCCGATCCGTTCCGCCCGTTCCAACTCAGAACAATCTTTTATCTCGTTTATACGTCTTGCAATTGTTATCCATCAGAATAGCACGCACCATTCTCCCTTGGGCACACGAGGGCCACTGAACCATGGCAGTTTGCTTCCCTTTTAGGCCTTTCTACTTATACGCGTCTGCTGGACAGGTCCTTAGTAATAGAGAGGTGACATTGCTTCTAGAGCAGGCAAATGGGATGGGTGCTATATGAGGATGTGTGAGCCTATACTCCCCAGAAGCGCTTTGCATAGTAGACAGCGTTGTTGTAGTGCCTATTTCTTATATAACCTCTCCTTTTCATCCTACTTCTTTCTGTTCAAATATACATTCTTATTCCTCCGCAAACTATCTATCATCCCACAATGCTTCGGCTCTTAATGGCCATCCACAATACCATATCTGCTAACCCGCGCTTCGGGGCATTCTTTCTCAAGGCTGCGTCAGATACACTCGTTGCGCTTATCTGCTGGGTATACTTCCCACGTCCCGTCATCTGGTTTCTACTCTAGACGTAGGCGACCAAAATCACGGGGCTGCAGGCCAGCAGTAACGCAGTAATCATCATGGGACAAGGCGGGTATTCAAGTCCGGCACAAACTCAACTCAACGGCTACTCTACTACTCCTCAACAGAACTGCAATACAGCTGCACAAGACACCAATATAGGCTGGGATATCTGCGAGGTTACCAAAAAGGATGCGACTCAACTCAACCTTAGCAAAGCAATACGATTCTGCTCAACCCTAATTTAGGGCGCGACCCAGACTTGCGACCACGTGGCGGATTCCAATCACTCATCCCATCGCAGTTCTCTTTACTTGCCCAATACGTCTATAGCTTGCGGATTTGCCATCGCCTGCGCGGGGAGTAGCACAGAACATGTCAGTGTTCCTGCAAAGCGCAAGTGGAACTCCATGGATGTGGAGCTTATATAGTGGATGGAGCGGAAGGGCATGGTGGGGAGAGCTAAGGAGCTAGAAGAGCGATTTGAAGGTGTAGACGTAAGTGCGCCATTGGTCCAAGAAAATAGGGTCCATTCGCCAGCAGTGTCGGTAGTCCAGGAGGGAGAAGGGTAGGTGGACACTGGGCGCGAATGTTTGAGCATTTCTTTGAGTATTTGTGATATCTAACGGATCTGGCTGCGTATGGCCGATTAATGGCAGCAGATAGGATGAAGTTAATAGGCAGCCAGCGCATTTTCACGGTTCCCCTTTCGCACCACTTCTACACACGACACGCACACAATATATTATAACTAAGTTATACAGGTACCTACGAACTAGTAGTAACGAAGAAACTCCACTAGACCAAGTCCATGTATATGCAATACTCTCCATGGTTGAGCTCGATTCTTTGCGGAAGGGCGTGCTAAAATCTGCGCAGGCCGGTCTGGTGTATGCGCACATGTTTCGAGGGAAACAATGCAAGGACTGTAGTAACACGCTGTATTCTTGGATAGAAAGTGTTACAATAGTAAGACTACGAACTGCCTAAACTATAAGGAAGCGTTGCAACTTCGAAAAAGGTGTGTTACCCGCTAAGGAAGATTTGTACGAAGGCTGGGTCAGCGAAGTGTCTGCAACGATCCTGGAGATCAAAGGCCGATGCGAGACGAGAGGCTGTTTAGCTGATTCACTCACCCATGGGCTTTTCTAGATTACCCCTAGCATTGACGCCGCATCGTTACAACTTACCTACTAATAGGCTCCCTACGGTTAACATTTACGTTAGACGTCTTCTGTTGAGACAAGGGAAAAAGAGGACAGGTGAATGCTCATCTTTTCTTTCCTTGAGGGTTCCGCCAAATTCCCAGTGCCCAAAAAGGCTGTGCCGAAGAAGTGCTCTCCCGGCGTTGGGGTGCTAAACGACGCAGCCGCACGGCGCCGTTAAACGTCGACAGCGTCACGAGCATGTACACCAGTTATGGTTGCCCGGATTTAGTGAGGGTTTGTGACCGAGATAGTATAGTATATCCAAATTGGACCAGCAAACTTAAACATGTTGTTTAAGTAGAGAATTCCAAGCGTGTTTCACAAGTTCTACTGCAGCTATGATCCCCTCTGCCTAGTCGATAAGAGAGGTGACAACCGTCATCGTTAGCACCTACTTGGGTCTCTCGTCCAGTCTACTGCACGCGCAGTGCTAAGCGACTCGTCTTTGCAACATCGCCTTCGTACCATATCCCTTCTCTTCCCCACCACCTCCTAGGATATCTTTTTCATACCAACGTCGTACAAATCGCTGAGCAATAGCGTGCTTGGCTTGATGGAGGAATTTGAATAACTCTCGAGAGTAAGAGAAAAGGTTTCTCTATAGAGGTTGAGTGAGAAGAAGGTGAACATTAGGGAGAAGTATTGGATCAACGCAAGTGGTTCGAGTAGTCTGAGCACCGCTCCGACAAGTCCGCTGCGCCGTGTCGGGCGGCCTAGACTGTGCAATGTATCAGGGCGAGATCTAACGAAGTTATGGCGGATGGAGATGAGGATCCTTATAGCAAGCACGGTAATCAAATAGGTGAGAGAATCACAGTGCGTCGGATTGCACAAGTGGCTTTCCCTAGATGAACGGCGGCGCAGCTACTTAGAGTGACAAATATACGAGGAGAGTTATCACATTCAATATTGCTTTGACTACCTGAGGCGCCTCCAAAACCCGACCCAGGACCCCGCATGCAAGCGGGAGCAAGCAGGGTGGGCGAGCTCGAGGAATCAAGCACATTGTATCGGGTGCAAGTGGAAATTCGTCCATTATGCAGACGGAACGACAGCCGACTCCATGCCAGGTAGGGAAGGGTCGTCATTGCCAATTCATGGCTCCGAACACCAGGGCATAGATGCCGAACATCACTATCGTGAGCGTCACTTTGACGCACGCTTGTCTTATTGCATTACAAAGCACCGAAACCACGCTCAGCGGTCTCGCGCAAGAAACAGGGAGAGGCGACCGCGCGCAGTGAGTGCGACTCTTCCCAACAACTCTTCCTAAACGTCCAGATGCTAGCTATTCTTTATTTCCTCCTCTTTCGGGTGAAGTCATTACTAACGCGCTTCGACAATGCTTTAGCTCGTTTTCTACAGTATTAGGAGAGAAGTTCTGCACCATGCCCTAGGAATGCTAAGCAAAGGAGCGGCTTACCCAAATGGACTGCTGCCAACGCGACCAACTAGCGACACCGAACGTGAGAGTCGCCGGCATGGGTTAGGTGCTCTCTTGCTGCATAAGTAAGCTCCTTCGGTGTCGCGAGTTGGCGACGCTGCGGAGGGCGTTACATTGGACTGACTATCTTGAATGAGTAAAACTTGCAGAAAGCTACCAGGAAAGATTTACACATCGTGTCTAAGACTCGGACTGCGATTCCCGGTGACAAGTATGGCCAGCAACATGTAATATCGGCATCCCGAAGAGGATTTGCGGAGATAATGGCTGCATATTGTTGGTGATGAAGTATAAAAGTTTCTTCCACTATTTCGCGCCACTGTTAGCAAGCAGACCATGACTGACTAATGGTAGAAGCGCTGAAAGCACGAATGTTTCGAGACACTTTGTTCACAAAAATGCGGCCTTCTAAAGCCCTATGGCATGTGGTATAACTTTATTAACATGACTGGTAGCTGCCACGATGCGTCTGCATGTACCTCCGGTCTTTACCGCTGGATCCCCCATGTGTACTGGGCCTGCGTTTACCGGATGGTTAACTAGGATTGAAACCAGCTTAGCGAGGGCGAGAAAAATTATACGTTAATTATGGCACCCTAGGGCAGCGATAAAATGCCAGCTGCAAACCCACCTGCGCTAGCGAGACTGGGATGCGTCCTTTACCAAATGAAATAGCTGTGGAGATGAGGTGAACTGATTGGTGACCCAACACCTAGTTTACGAGACCTGCATTGGTAAGCACAAGACCGGAACAGGCACGAGAGTAGAGAGCTGGGAACGAAATAGCCGCGCCGACTTTAACCAACACCTGGATTCTAGAAGAGAGTGGCTGCGTGGTCATCACATTGAGGCGACTCCTATTATTCAGAAGTCTTCGTCATTGCCGCCCCAAGCCATCGAACATCGTATCACCGTCCAATCAATACACCACAATCCGGGATTTGTACCAGACCTCCTTGCGCGAGAGGGTTCAACGAAAACTTGGCTATGACCAATGTGGACTATTGGACCAGTAGTGGCTAGCACCCTCGCGTGGAGGAACTCGACAACTGTCGCCCTTGTGAAGGAGTCCTTTAAGGAAGACCATCACGCACACGATAGCGATCTCAGCCAGGAACAAGATAAGGGGCAGGTAGGCGAGCTGTCCTCTATAAAGATCTATGCTTAATACTAACTATAGCGACACTAGGTGCGTAATGTGCAACATGCCATTGACTACGATTACGCATATCATCCAGCTAAGCGGAAGCTAATCAACATAGAGGTGTCTAATAATGTAAAGATGCTTGGAACGCACTCTAGATCTACAGCGCCGGGACTAGGTGTATCCTATCTATCATGATGCTTATTTCTACAAAGCTGGTCGTCTAGCTAACTGTCACCATGGGCAGGGACACCCTACAAACCTAACCAAGGACACCATGGTGAGCATTATTACAACGACAGTCACTGATACAGAGAAGCTCAGGAAGCTCATGATAGCCACCAATACGTAGATTGTCACATACTGGATGATATGTTCTGTCGAGCTCGTCCTCGAAACGATATTGTGTTGTGGGCGTGAAACAGAATGCCGATAGATGCGCGCGCCCAATGGAGGCAGGGACCAGGGGCGGTTATGTTAGTCACAAACCACGAGTACTCGCGCTAAGCGCGCAGCGAGCGCAAGCAACTATCTAAGGCTAGTCTGCAGATCACTCCTACTCTAGATATTCTCTTCGATGTCGACATTTCGTGTGCGGCATCACCCCCATGAGCTAATTCATTGCCGATGCCCACCAAAAACACCTTCATCGCCAACGTACATGAAAAGCTACTAATTATTTTAAATAGCGTATATCTAAGTGTTTCAAGATATAGCATGTACAGTTTTATATTTTAGCTGTTTACATTTAGATCTATATAGTAAACTGTGGTTGAACATTATCTATATGGCATTGGCAATGAATTAGCTCAGGGGGGTGGCATCCTACGGGTGAGATTATCCCATTTGTTACTTCCCAGTTTGCTCCATTATACTACGTCGTTGGGAGGAGATAGTGCCTTTTCCAACCTTTTATCACCGCCATGAATATCCATGGCTTGATAGCAAAAGGCATTAATCCAACTGTCAGAACGCGCACGATGCAGAGAAAGCGGTTAAGCGCGGCAGCACTGGGAGAGGGCGAATACTAGAAAGAAGGGTCCCTGTAGAAACCGCAAGCACGTGGACCAGTGATCGAAGATTTTGAGCCACGTCGGGGCCCGGAAACGCGGATTCGACCCGTTGCCAACCGGATTTCCCGCCAATGTGATCTGGCTGCTATGGTGCTGCGGTACCCTAGGCCTACTCTATCTGAATGTTACAATTATGAATGGTAAGGTGCTCGAGAATATGTGGTGTTTCCAACGGGTCTCTGGCTTCAAGCTCCGGGTCTTAAAGGCAATACGCCAGGCTTCGTGCTTGTGATGCCTTCGCCAACTATGTCAGCGCTACTGGTACCCTCAAGTTCTGAGTGAGATAGGGAATGGCCTGCATCCTCGCCATGACAAAGGCTGGAATGCCATAGATCTTGACTCTCAATCTGAAGATGACTTGAATCTGAGTCGCAGGGGAATGGGGAGGGGCTGCTCTGGGTCTGCTGTCCTGTCCGTTCAGCCTGACGGCTACGAGAGGCCTTCATAGGAATAGCGGAATGGTGATCTTCTATTAATCCATGGTGCGAGACTGTACTGAGGAGTCTACCGCAGTTCCAGGGCCAGGGAGGGGTGGGGAGAGGAATGAGAGCATTTGTGGTTGTGCTGAATTGTGAGCCGCCGTCATCGCCTATAGGATTGCCCATTATCCGCAGGAGTCGTTAAGAAAGGAGTGTCGGTTGGGATCTGGACCGCGGCTTCCAGGGCAAGTCGACGCATACGTCGTTTGCGCACACGAGCTATAAGAGACACCATCCGATGCGGGAGTCTATCCCACGACTATGGAGTGAATGGGTTGGTTAGTCGCTGGATATTCTCTCATAAATAGCATTGACCAACTTGTGTTGACTGAAATGTAAGGCTCGGGACCCTGGAGCTGGCTGTAATAAATCTAGACCTTCTTGTTTGAAGTAATAGATTATTCCCCAAACATAGCCTCCCTATCGTCAGAAGGAGTATCTGCGGCCCTGCTTGGGTTTTTAATTTAGCAGCATGAAAGCTTTGTGCGCATTGATACCTAGTATCCATGTAAAGAAGCTATGTCTTTTTTCGCAGTCTACTCTGCATTAGAGGGGGGTGGAGGGGAAAAGAAAAGAATAGAGGGAAAAGAAGAAAAGTATTAAAAACGAGGGCGTAGTGAACATGCAACCTTGCCAACCCACATTACTTCCAAGAAACCAACCAGGAAACAGATATTCGCCATTACCGCTACCACCAACCAACGAAAAGCCTCCCAACCCTGGTCCGTGATCTCTCCGTGATAGACATGAAGGCAACGCACCGCCACGGAAGCATCGTCGAAGCTTATCAGCATCAGTCAATACCCCGGAACGCGAATCGAAGCTGTCCATCCGTCGTTAAGCCCAGTGGCTACCGCTGCAGCCCGTGCGTGCAATAGGCTGATAGCAGCACAGGTCATGCTCACCGTGCGCGAGACGATGTGTGCAGTATAGCCAACGGCCCATGCAGTGCGGTAGAGGAGGGTGAGGTTGGCAGATAATGGGTGCATGGATAGGGTGGGGCTGTTGAGCAAGGCGATGGTGGTGATAGAGAGGAAGAGAAGGAAGAAGGCCTTGATGAGGTAATTCGGGGGCATTATGGAGATAAGAGGAGCGACTATATAGGATGCCAGATGATTGAGGCTGAAGTGAGGAGTTGATGAACAGGATAGTGGGGTCTTAAGTGCCAGAGATAAAGAAAGTTGGATGGATGTAGATCCCGATGCAGAGTCTAAGGCAGCGAGATGTATGCTTCACCAGCAGTCTCTCCCACTGCGAACTTGCAGACCTGTCGAAACCCAGCGGGGGCAATCCTTGCGATGTAGAAACAAGTAGAAAAGTCGCCCTTTATATGCATTCGAAAAATGCTGCCCTCAAAATTAACCGTGCCAGAATCCATGGCAGATTAAATGAGAAATATCCCCAACAAAGAAAAACTGCATCAAAAAAGCGGGTATGATCTTAATTTAGGGGGCGGCGACGGTTTACCTCTGTTTGGTCTCAAGACAGGGGGCTTCACGGTGGCATTTTGTTGCCAGATATGGTGACTACTTCACGTGACCTGGTCATGTATATATATAGCCATATTTTTCGTATTCTCAATCAATCAACTCATGTCTCAATACTCTGCAATTCTCCCAATACATTTAGATGCGGGTGGCCGTTTGCTTCCCGCAAGAGACAAGGGATGAGGACGCCACATTCCTACCATTTGCGCCACTCCAATTTCGGTTACAAGAAAGAAAGAGAAGGAAGGAATGTTAGGGAAGAGTGGGAGCCGATTTGGGAGCAGCTGGGTCCACTCATTTGGATGACTGGAATGAGGGTGATGAATTAACATTTCCCTTACCAGCCCTGGTCGAATAACGCCAGTTTCTCTGAAAGCTCAGGGTTACGTAGAGCATGCGATGCACATGATAGCCGCCAAACCACTGTTCCTCCAACATTACGCTAGTGTGCTCTCTAAAATCGCTCCTCTAGTAAGGCCATCATAGCCGGGTCAGGAGGGATGTCCAGCGGTGAATGTCGAGCGGTGAGATCCATTCAGTGACAGATGCTGGTGCTCCAGGAGAGGGCGTATAAGATCTAGCTCCGGCTGCAGCTGCAATCGTACTTGGATGAAGGAGTTCGACATTGTAGTTTAACTTGCTAGCATCCTGGGCTGGATTATACCACTTGCTCTTTCTCTATCTAAGCACCCTTGACTACACCGTTTGCGGTGGCGTTTCCATGCCTAGTGCGTCGACTTTGGAGCTTAGCGATAGAATCTGTGGTAACTACATCTTGGTGGCAGTCACGGTTAGGTGAGCGGAAAGACAAGTAGAGCCGCGCACATAATCCTTATAGAGCTAATATACTGAGCAGTTACTCAGGCGAAGGCATTGCTCGATATGTCGCTTTATCAGTAGCTTGTGGGTATACGTTGGTTGGATGTATCCCGCCAGCTCGCCGCACCACGAGTCGAGAAGCATTCAATGTGGAGGGAAACTGACCGCAGAGTTTCCTTGGTTGCCTCGTTTTGCGTATTCTTTCCTACCGGTTCCTTTTCGCCAGGTGACTTTATTCCAATGATTTTTCAAGCCAGAGAAGCTCCCGGGTCAGGCGGAAAGGCTAGCTTTATGGACAGGCGACGCTGAACTTGTTCCAGATAGGTGTTCATACGTTACGCGGTTTCGGGTCATGCGCGTAGAGCACACCTCAGCTCGGCGTCCTCGAAATTCGCCAAGTTATGGGTCACCGAAAACCTGACGTAGCTCTTCTCAATAACCCGTTAGAGTCTCGTGTCCGCAGAAAGAGCACTGCGAAGCCCGTGAGACGCGCGGGGCCAACAACGATGTGCAATAACCCCCAGGATACCTGGTTCCCTGGTGGATACCGGTCCAGTTCAACGACTCCTTTGTTCTTCCGAGCTTGGACCGCAAGCGATTGGGATATCTAAAGCCGCCTCACCTAAACGTACCTTACGCCGATGCGATGGGTCTATACGCTGAGTGCCGTTGCTAAGTAAGACTGTAGGGATTAGGGACGGCTATCGCGACGTAGCTCTCCCGGCACACGGAGCAGCAAGTATCCCCCAGTTATTCATCTTCGGAGTCTGGCTTTCCATATCCCCACTCACCCTCCTCACTCTTCCCATTTCGACCCTTATCTCTTTACTTCATCCATTCTTTGCCCTATAAGCTCGTTATTCGTTCTTCGCAGGCCCTTTGTTACTAAATAGCTCTACGCTGGTTTCTACGTTCGTTTGCTTCGTCGTCTTTATAGAACTGCTGCTTGCTATTCCTTCTACTGTCTTTCCCTTCCAGGACGCATTCACCGTCCTCGCCCTAAACACCCTGTCCACTACACCCTGCCATTTACCACGCTTTTGCCAGCACCATCATGAGCCCAGTGTGAATTTTAAGATGCCAACCCCAATCTCTGGCTCAGTGCCTCTGTGTATTCCTTCTGCGCCGGCACCTGGTCCTGTTGGCCAAATTTCGGCCATTGATCCGGCACCACAGCTACATGCAGGGCATAACCTTAGAAGTAAGCAGGCCAAAAGAAGAAGTTTTCGGGGAAACGAGGAAGCTTTTCCAGACTGAGCGAGCGTCGTACGAGAAGATTTGTTGTCGCTCAAGCATAATAGAAGTATATGAAGATTCTACAATGAAAGATGTACTCGCATCGGCCTCGACCCGCTCTGCAGGCGCCTCCACAAGGTGCCAGAGGAGTACTAGGGTTGCTGCTCCGGCGGGGTAGGTAAATTCGTGCTGGCGCGGACCTGCAAGTGGAGCTCGATAAGATGATGGCAGAGGGTCAGACCATGTCAGCCTTCTTGAGCATGCAGCCTTTGTCTTCGTTGTCCTCTCTGATGGAGAGCGGGAGTGGAACGGGCAGGAGTAATGAGCCGAAAGATGCCAGCCCAGCTAGTTCCATACTGAGGGCATACGACAATCGGTTTTCGGCGCGCCATTTAGCCCTGTGAGAGCTTTCCCTGCAAGGCGGTGGTCTATGACGCCTTCGCCTTCGCCTTCGCCTTTCGCGGCTGGCGGTGATTGTTACATCAGGAGTGGAGTGTTCTTCGAGCTGGAGCTTTTAATTAGACTCTTTTGTTACCACCTAGGTCGAACTCTCAGTCGTCGTCTACAGGAGAGAAAGAGAGTGCGCCACAGGATGGTGTTGAGCCTTTGAGGTCACCATCATCCACTTCGCGCATGTCGTTTAGCAGCAAGGCAGGACTGACATTTGGTTCACGCATGGGAACTTGGGCCCCATCGAGAGGCGGAGTGTCTTCCGGACCCACGGGACCTTCAAACGTCCTCGGTGCTGCACTCGTCATGGTTCAGCACACGTGAAGAGCAACGTACACCTTGGAGGCTATAAACGTCTTCCAGATACGTGAGTTAAGCTTACCTGCCCACTCTAGCTTCGGCTTCCCGCTCATCGTTCAGCACATGTGAAGGTCGATGTATGCCCAAGTGAGGTCAAGCGGCTTCTGGATTCTTCTTACATCCAGATTCGCGCCTGTTCTGGCTTAGGATACGTCCTTTCGGGCCAAAGCCGTCGCTACTCCGCGTTCGTAGCACCCAACAGGAACGCGGGATGTCTCCCACGCCCTCCGACGACGTCGCCATGGTACAGGACTCGTGGAACGCGGGCGTCGAAACCAGAACTGTAAAAGTAGTCGAGCTATCCGCCCCATCGTCACTCACTCTAGGGCCGAGACTGTTGTTCTGACAACTAAGCATCTTCCATTTCGGCACTAGAAGGATATAGTATCGCAGTACAAGACTTCGTGAGGACCTTCGATAAAGCCGAGCCGTCCTGCCAACTGCGAGTGGTTGCGGACTTGGCGGAGCCGCCAACTACGCTGGGCCCTCGAGATATATCTATTTCGCAATATGTACCGAGAGGGCCATTTGGGATTACTTCTACTAGTTAAGTTTGTCCGCGGTGGTCTCCTTCAGACCCTTCTTCACCAAATATATTAGATTCTTGGTGGCCGCCCTCTTCGCCTCCTTCTCCCTGCCCACTGGGAAGGGCGGTTGAGCAGGCTCTAGGTCAAGACGTCGTTCCTCAGCCTCCTCCTCAACCTCCCTCTCCATTTCCACCTCATCCTCTTCAACTCCTCTCCTAGCCCCCCTAGGAAGGACAGTCAGGATACGTCCATACCTCGATGCGGAAGGGCATGAGCAGCTTCCGAAATGGCACCGTCGTAGCTCTCTCTCCCCGAAGCCTCCCCATCTTTTCGCCCCCCGAGATGGAAAAACCAGAACCAGGGTAAGGAAGCTTTTGCTGAGTCCTTGAATACCCAGCTGCCGGCTATCGACTGGTAGTTCTGTGCCCCTTGCTAGGCGATAGATGGGAGCTAGAGGGGTATGCTTGCTCGGTTAGAGCCGCTACTGAACATGTGTTCGAGAGTGATGTCCTGAACTATCGGTTCGCTGGAGAAGTCACAGATTCACAGGGTACGTGTGAGATCGATATATTGACGCGGCTGTTCTGCGGCGAAGTCGAAAAAATGAATCGCGAAATGAGATAACATGCACCACATACCACTGCGGATCGCAAACTGGCAGGACAAAGCCCTTATCACCCAACGCGCGTAGCCTCGCCTGGCTGAGACTAAGATCTGCAGGATTAGCACTGACCATAGATTGGGCGTTTTCAAAAGCTGCTTGCTTAACATTTGTCCATATGCTCACGTCGACGAACCAGGTACAAAACAAAGTGATTATGGTAAGCTAAGTACCTGTAGGAATGTTCGGACGCTACGAGGAGAAGGGGTATCGTTTGCTATAGATTGCTTGCCTGAATGTTAACCCTCCTAATTCTTCTTCTTCGCCTACGCTGGCAAGCAGGCACTCCAGAATCCGCACACGAGCGCCCGGGCTTGCCATCCGCTACGTCCCCCATACAGCCGCTAGCGACGGCGTTCCTATCGACACACATTAGACCAACCGACGCATCCTAAACGCCTACAACCGCCCACTCCAGCCGCACCCCTGTCTACGAGCCACACTCCCATCCATGAACCATAAAGATCCGCCATTAACAATTAGGAATCGCCCCTCATGCCATACGCCGAAGATATAATCCCTGAACTCTAGGTTTACTCTGATTAATACATGATAGTTGTCGACGTCTGCTACGCATCTGGCTACAACGCCATTGATGGCAAATAGCTTTACTCTATGGACAGATCTCTAGGATTGAATCCATGCTACATCTCCGTCGTTGGTTTAAGACGACCCTTAGACCTTAATCCTACGTACAGAGACACCGGCTTCAAGGCGCGCAAAGGCTCGAGCATATGTGCTGAGTCATGCTGAAGTATCCGCATGCATGCTGAAGGATACACGGGCGTACTGTAGTATTCTCAAGCGTGCTCACGGGTTCGCGCCCCTTTTACTATGGCTTCTACATCATAGAGTTCGCCCAACTGTCTCGTAATCCTGGAAAGTTTCTGGGAATGACCTGCCCCTTCCTTTTTCTACTCCAGTGCTGAGCAGTTGTCAAGGAGGACTGGATGCGTTTAAGCCTTGCTATTACAGGTTCGCGTGCGCCGTGAATGTCAGTGAGGTATTAAAGTCGCTTGTCACGTTCCAGGGAACTGTTGCGCACAGAGACAAGGGAGGTTGTGGGAGTATCAATACCGGCGCCATCACCAAAGGGTACGCGGAGGTGGGGGCGGTGCTGTTAGAGGAGGTAGAAAAGGAGGAATGGAACGTTGCTCAGCTTGATATTGTAGTGTTAGCTAAGACGGGGTCGAGGCCATTGTGGCAGCTGGCAGTGAACATGGAAACGGCGTCTTCTCGGCTTTCACGTTGTTAATAATGGAGATGAGATGTAGACTTCACAGAAGATGTTTGTCTCAAAGAAGCGCTTAGTCAGCGAAGTCGAGCTACATTTTGCCCACATCTTGGACAGGTTCATGGCTCAAATGCCCCCAGCTATAAAGGAGCCATCGGTGAGCAGGCGCAGGGCAGGACTGGTGGCTAGCGGCACTGGCCTATTGTAAAGTGGCCGGAGCCTGCACAGTCTCGCTAAAGACAGGCACTGGTCACATGTTAGACGAAGGTGTTTGGTATCTATATGTTCGTGTCGTTTGCGTATTAATTCGACTCCCTCACTACACTCCGTCTCATCTGCTCGACTGACCTTTGTGCTACTACTGCGAGCGGGACTCTCGACGTGGTTCTGAAAGAGCGTTGCTAGCTTCTTGCTCAGATTATCAGGAGCCAGTGCGATGCTCTGTGTACCCGCGTGGGCACTCTGTCCTAACGTGGCGATAGCCTCCCCAACGGAACCGCTTCTTTGTGCACGGATATAGAGCTTCTGTGACCTTGGTACACTACGTTCTCTCGACGCGCTCTGAGCTAGCGTATATAAACAACCTTTGACGAGTTGGTGCCAACGAGTTCGCCGTTGATCCTTAGTGGCTGCTACTATGGGTTTAATAATCTCTAGGGGAGTCTCTAATTGACCAAAGCCATGCGCAAGTGCGTATGTCGGAGTGGAGCGAGAATCCCGCGAGGCGGCGTTACGACCCCGAAGACATGCTCGCTTTCGAAGCAGACCGTGGGATGAATCGGATATGTCACGAGCCCAGCATGGAACCATGTATAAAGACTAGGAGGGCCTCAGAGTCTTCAGCTCAAACTAAACCCCGTAGAAGTAGCGCGTATAGCTAAGGGACCTAGCCTAGCCAAAACGAACAAAGGGTAAGGCGACGGCGAGGCCGTAGAGGTTGTCTCAGTAACAGGTCGCCTCTTTCTTTACCTTATGCCGACCCGAAAGACTCCCCTTAGGGACTCGCGAGGCGCGTCTAGTCCCTATTCGCATCACAGCTCGACTTTTAACAGTGATTTGGTGCAGCATAGCCTGCTGAGTTAATTCAGGCACGCTCTCGCTCCTCATCGGAAGCTCAACGGATCACGTTGTCCAGTTCGACCCTTCTCGCGATCGCCGGAAAGTCCACCCACCATGGACCAGGTAGCAAGACCGTAAGAAGCGGCGCGCGCAGTGAGGCCAATAAAGTACGAGAAGCCGGTTTGATCCCTGGAAGCTGAATGAGACTAGCTACAAGCTCGGCGCCTAGGTGCGCCGATAGCCCGCGAGACGCCGTGAAGGCCACGTCGTACACAAGGGTAATCAATAGACAAACGTGACCCTTGATGTAAGGCACCTGTGCTAAGCGAAACTAAGCTGAACTCCCTGAGGAAGCGAGTAATGCAAGGAAAGCGGATTGAATGGGATGCTAAGAGCGTGGAGCGTCGGGGATAGCGTCAAGTTACCTATAGATTCGTTACGGGTTCCTGTACGCTCGTCACGATCCAGAACCACGACGAGAGAGGGATCTGGTGGGACGCCATCAAGGGGGGCGCGCTCTGTCCCTCGGCGTGCCTGCGGGCTGAGGCTCTGCGTAGTGCAGTCATCGGAGTCTAGTCATTGGAGTCCATTAAGGCTCAACACAATAACTTTTTAAAGGGTGACGAGCCAGCCCTAGATCGCGTTCAAGCGCTAGCGGCCCGCTCCAGCTACCCGCCCTTGAGTAGCTCGCGGCTCGGGGAGCAGGACAATTTGCACGGGGATCGAGAGAGCGCTGCTGCTTGTGGCTCTTGAGCTTCGTTGGCTCTATACTTGTCGACGGCCTCGAGGCCGCTCCCGCCTTTCAACCTATCCCCACTAACAGACTTCCTGCTAAACGCCGTCTTCCGCAGCGATGGATACTTAGGAACTGGTATTAGGCTTGGTTAACAGGGCGAGTTACAAGAGGATAGTAATCTTTATATTACTCTACTCTACGTCTCTAGACACAGAACGCTGGAAACGAAAGCTCTAAGAAATTGCCTAATAACATACGTGACCAGACAACTTTTCCTGTGCTTTTGAAGGGGGTGTTACTAACCTTATTAGAACTGAGGAAATTTGATGGAAGTTAGACTAGTTAATGCTCCGGGAGTCACGCTTTTCGGTCGTAAGTGTAACACATGGCAGTCGCGCTAGTTGCTACGAGCCTTCTTAACATCGACATCATACCGTCTCCGCGTTGGAGCATCGCCCAGCTCTGTGAGTCGCATCCTGTTACTGCCCTTTCTTCGCTCCAAGCAAAGACATCGGAAGGCGAATAGAATCTTTGGTGCGGCTGTGGAGCAGTGATTGATATACGCATGGAGAAGGCCTCAAGTCATTCGCTTTTGGGACGGAGACAGCGCCGGGCACTGGAGCATCTGCGGATAGGGCCGCACTGGGTGAGTGTTTAACGGTTCGCGATAGAAGGGCCGAATAGGGCGGAACAACGGAAAGAGAGCCGGCACTACAGTATCCTTTCCCTCCAATTTAGGGACACCCCTAAAATAGGCGAGAGTTACGTGTACGAACCGCCTTTTCCACGTCGATCTCGTACCGAAAGCCCGATACTTATGGCAAATGACTTAGGAGGCCATGTCACCTATCTTTAGTCTTCCTGTCCATGTTTCCTTTCCCTTCCGTTTCGTTCCGCGAGCATGTCGCTGGCCTCCCACTATTATCACGTCATCCTTCTTCCATCACCGCCCAGAGTAAACGTTCGTTTCTTCGGCGAGCCGTACATCTTCGAAGTTGGTGCTATCCTTATGGAAGGCTTTCGCGAGACGTGGGGCCGCATGCGCTGTGCTGTACTGAAATGTCCCTTACTTGCCTACCGCTTTGATTGAAAACGTTCCCTGCTGGCCTACGCATACGAGCTCCCCGGGTACTACATCCGCGTTCGTTCCGCGCTATACATAGCATTCTACATACACTTTTCGCGGTACGGCCCAGAATAGGCCTAATATCAGCTCTTTAGATCTTAAATTCCCTAGTAAGAGAAGGAAAATAGCCCACGTAGAACCTGGAAGGGCCAACTGCTAGCGAAGTTCGCTGGTTTTAGCCAATGTAGATACGAGGGAAGACAAGGGGTACGGGTGGACGTGGGTGCAAGACTAGTAGATAGTTGAGTTCGATTTCAAATAATCCGCGCTTGCGGACAGAGGAAAGTTTGCGTAGCATTTCTATAGCCATGAGGCAGACTAACGAGGAACGGATATGGTGTCTATTATGATAGGGTTTCGTTATTAGAGATATGGGCCTGCGAAAGCGTACAACGTAGAGGGTAGAGTTGTGATTTTTTATCCTACACTAGAGCAATAAGTTGTATTGGAAGGAGAGGAGAGATAGGAAAGAGTTATAGAAGGGCAGAGCGAAAATGCACTGTTCTTTAGCTTGCCTTCCCAGCCTACACCATACTCATTGAATATGTTAGGGACATTGATAGTGTGATGTAATGTAATAAGATCAGTTAAGGAGGATCTAAACGACTGCTTGGCGCAGCATGATGACCGCTCTGGTAGCGTAGCGAACTATTTAACTGTCGGTTCAATTGCTCAGTGGAACTAGAGCCGCTTAACTTAACTCTACAGTTCCGAAGCGACCCAGCTTTGCCCTCTCGCCCGGCTCACAAATACAAAACACTTATTAGCCCACTCGGCGACCGCGAAGACGCGCAGTGCGCACTTAAGCGCGGAATTTGTTGCTTATCCAGTAATAATTATAATACCGACGAGCGTCTTTAGAGCGCGGCGTTGCTTCAGAAGTAGTAGATAGCGTGGTGCTGCTGCGGTTGCTGTAGAAC